AATCGATGTCACTGAATTGTACATGTAGAAACTTTTGAAATGGTGTAACTTTGGCTATGTATATTTTCACCAAAAAAAAGTCCTCCAAGGTTGAGAGGGGAGAGTGTTGACATGTTGTGGGGTTGTTAACCAATGTCATAAAACAATATGTGTACGGACTGTTTAATGAGAAACTATTTGTTCTGTAAACCTTCAGCTAAAGTACAATAAAAAAAATTTTAAAAAAGACACTAAATAAAAAGGCAGAGAACTTGAACAGACATTTCACCAGAGTATATTCAAATGGCCATTGCGTACATGAAGAGATGCTCCATGTCATTAGCCATTAGGGAGATGCAAATCAAAACTACAATGAGATACTATCTTACTCCTATTAGAATTGTAATGATCAAAAAAACAGGAAACAACAGGTGTTGACAAGGTTATGGAGAAATAATAATTTTTTTAAATATACAGTAAAAAAAATCAACAGAAGAACTTAAAAGGTACACTAGAATATATATGTTAAATAAACAAACAAAGATGTATGGAGGAACAAAAAAGTCATAACATATAGCAAAATGGCATATGTAAATCCTACCTTATCAGTAATTACATTAAATGTAAGTAGATTAAAAACTCAAAAGGTAGAGGTTGTCAGACTGGATTGAATAAAAAAACAGGATTCAACTATGTGCTGTCTACAAGAGATATATTTTAGACTGAAAGATACAAATAGGTTGGAAGTAAAAGACAAAAAAGGTATGCCATGCAAACAGTAATCAAAGAAAGCTGGAGTAGCTATACTAATATGAGACAAAATAGAGTTTAAGACAAAAAGCATTACTAGAGACAAACAGGAATATTTTGTAATGATAAAAGGGCCAATTCAGCAGGAAGATATATCAATTATAAACATCTACACACTTAACAACAACAGAGCCCCAAAATACATGAAACAAAAACTGAGGGAACAAAGGAAAAAAAATGGACAAATCAACAATAATAGCTGGAGGCTTTAATACTCTACTCTAAATAATTGATAGAACAACTAGACAGAAAATTAGCACGGATACCGAAGACTCAAACAACACTATAAACCAACTAGACCTTACAGACTTCTACAGAACACTCCACCCAACAAAAGGAGAATATATATTCTTTTTCAAGCACAACATGCCCCAGGATAGACTCATAGTAGGCCATGAT